AACTATGGAACCTCGCAAAATGTACAATTGTATAGAGTTTTTCTGTCTCTTCATGACTACAAGAGCGCGCCGACTCACCTTTATAACTCCACATTCACCAGTATATTTATACCCCTTTGAGTCAAGTGTACTTAAAGATATAGGATTCTGCTTCAATTCTGGAATGTGCCTGACGTCTGTAAGTGTTCTGATAACACCATCGAACATTTTGATCCTGACTGTACAAGCTTCAACAATTTTTTAAAGTATGGAAAGTACATGGCGAGTCTAGAACCCATTTCTCACAAAGTTTGGAATCCATGTCAAATATCATAAGAAGCTCTTCTTTACTTTGCCAATATTCCAAAACATCAGGCTCTACTGTGTTAGCAGGGCTTTCCCTTTTCATTAGCACCTACAGTTTTGTTCCTATTTTTCAAAGAATAGCAATAAGCTCTTATACGTCCCTTCTTCTTACAGTAATGACACACAATTTTTTGCATATCTGGATTTTGATCCGCCTCTCATATTTCTATCAAAATTCCTATCTTTATTTCTCCCACGAACAACCAGGCCCTCGTCCGACTCCCAAGTCTTCCAGCAAGATGCTTCATCTTCTCCATAGATAACAAAGCATCAAAGATTTCTTCCAAAGTGAGGGTATCCCGACTATAGAAAATTATATCTCTAAAAGTCATATATGATGGCGGTAGAGAGCACAATGACATCAACGCCAAGTACTTATCATCATACTTAACCTCCAATTCAGCCACAATTTCTTTGAACATGGTCAATGATCATTCAATGATGCATTTCGGACAACTGGTGAGAATACAAGCTCTGTTTCAAGTGTAACTTACGAGTCAAGCTCTTTGTCATACAAAATTGCTCCAACTTCAACCACAATTGAGCGACACTGTTCTCCTTGAGGACATTCTGAAGAATTTGATTTGATAGATATAGATGAATTTCGGTTGGGGCTTTCTGATCCCTATGCTGCTTTTCGTCCTGCATCAAGGTTGAAGGCATCTTATCAAGCCAAGCAAGGCTTCCTCCAAATCCATTTGCAAGAAAACTGCTCGTCTAGAGTAGGCGGGGAATCAGTCCTTCTGAGTTGAGTGGATATAAAGTCGATATGTCACATCAACTAGACCTATGGAGACGTCACATCAATTGATTTCTTTCTGACAGTGGCGACAGAGGGATTTGTTAAGGGAGTGCCTCGGGGTGCTCAACGCTTCGGAGTTGAGGGACACTTCGGTTACTTCAGTGGATCTGCTTTTCACCTTGCAACGCACCATGTTGAGGTCGTCAGGAGTGGACATCACTTCGGAAACACTTGTTCCAAAGTGGTTTAACTAGGGGTGTAACATGTAGTATAATTAATTAACATTTTCTTAATAATATTTCAGATCTGTTACAAATCATGCATCGTTTTTTAAAAGACTAGTTGGAGTATAAAAACGAAGCACTTCATCATGGATGAGATGGAGTATATTAATGCAAGATTCTTGTTACTCCTCTCAATGAATAGAAGAAAGATATATGTGTCCATGGCATACCTGTTAAACTATTACCTATGAATTTGTTTTCTAATGGACTAGTTGGACTATATAATTAATTAAACCATCCATTATCAGAACACGCATATTAATACAAGATTCCTGTTACCCCATGTTCACATCAAAATAGTTCGAATGAAGGGAAGAGAGATATATGTATAAAATATACAAGTGCCCAGGGAAAGGGCGGCCATGTAGAAAATGCACCTAGGCCGATACTTTACGTCATTCTGCTATGTGACATTTTTCTGCCGAACCCATAAACAGAGGCCGAACCCGGGGATGGGCCGAGGAAGTTAGAGGTGCTGCACGGGATATTTCGTACATGATCTTCCATGATTGATTGATGTAATTAATCATTGTGGTTAGGGCTCACCTTGAAAATTTTGAAGCCCTAGACGACCCATTATATGAAACCCTTGAATTTTTTTACAAGCGCAAAAAGACTTAAATATTTAAATAATATATTCATATTTTAAACAAAGACTTGGTGCAGTCCAGAAGATAGAGCAGAAAAAAATCATCTTAACAACTTGACAGACTAGGGTAACATAATTTTAGCACAATATCCTGTTGATGGAAAAATATTATCAGAGTCTAAATAATAATATCTAAAATTATATTAATCAGCTTACAAATGCTTCGTAGTCGCTAATTAGTTTAGTTTTAGTAATTAGTCATATAAATCACTCGAAAACAATTTATTATTCGACTAAAGTTAGTGTTCGTAGATTAGATAAGTACATAGTATTCGGAGGAATGATCTTTTATTCACTACTTTATTGCTTAATCACGATACCTTTCTCTTGCAAATGTTAATGATCAAGAAGCACCGTAACGATCATCTTACTTGGTCTAATACTGAGGTGATTTTCTCACTTGATTCAGATTACTGATTCCGTGAAATATGAACAAATTAATGTCTAAATAGGCGTTGGTGGTTTCTCAGTAAGGATTTTCAACCATGAAAAAAGGAGTATAAAGTTTACTAGCTAGGGAGATCATAGATTCTATATTACTCACTTGAAGAGTAGCTTGAGTCTGATTAGAATTGTATCGTCTTCTTTAAGTGTCAATGGGAGTCTCTTTATCCCTTTGGATTCTGCTATATTCTTCTAGGGTGTGGACTATTAGGATGGACGGAATGAAAAAAGCTCCTTGAATTTTTGGAGAATAAAAAGAAAATAGTTAAAAAATTGTACATAAAATGTTATATAACAGAATAAAAAAAGGTGTGATTTGTTATTTTTTATTTCGGATATTTTGTCTACTTAACTATTTTAATGGCAAATCTCTATTTTTTGAGCAAAAGTTAATTTTTTGTTACCATATTGTAAAAAGTGGAGTGCAATATAAAAAAAATTAAAAAGTACAGTATGCAAAGTGTAAATATACCCAAAATAGAGGGGGTATTTTGTAATTTTCCAAAATAAATTAGGTGGGAATACATAGTGTGGCCATATTGCCACTACAATTT